GTGGCTTATTATTGCCTGAAGTACGCTGACGGAACTGCAGAGCAGTAAAGAAGACAGGGTGCTGATCACCGCTACATAGGGTAGGGTTCAACACCAGAAATTGTTTTCTGGTTATTTTCATAACCGTAATGCGCTGCAAGATGTGACATCAGCACCATGTAAGGTTGTTGGTTCCATCTGGGATAAGAAGAAGTTATTCCTTTATCTTGCAATTCATCTCATCGTTTGCTTGAACTGACCGGCTCACTTTCGATCTGCTGCGTCGAAGGTTGGGAAAGTATCCTTCTACATTAGAGACTGCCGTTGGAAGATTGTGCGTCCATTTGTCTTCGCTGGAAGTTCCGGAAATTATACCCAGCCTCAATGGAACCTGTATTCTTCAAAGCACTGTCAGCCAGCGACTATGTGTGCTACGTATCTGCCAAAGCAACTAGCCTGTCGTATCAGCGGGTGGAGGCGGCCACTGCGACGAACGTTAACATGGTTATGTCGGTTTTCGACTCACAAGGAGTTCAGCTCTAGAATTAGAGCTTTTAACTGCTCACTTATGCCTCATCTAATCTGGACGTGTTCACAAGCCTGGTTCAGGCTCTTCTCTCTTGTTTATCATATCTTTTTTTTGCCCTTCACTTTTTGGAAAATTGTTATATGGCAGATTCTCCCTACCTACCATAGCAGCACATTTGACTTAGCCGGAAACTTTCTTCTTTCTTGAATTATTGTCTTTGTTTATTTTTCGTATGATTTTTCTTAAAGAATTTTCATTTGCTTTATGAGATATTACTGTATTTGCTCAATGTCGTGGTTCGTTCTTCGTGACGATTGTATTTATCATCTTTTACCAAGTAGTAATTCATGGAAAACAGAATCTCTTCTGAGAGTCGTTTTTCACCTCAAGATTTTTGTAATATACAAGTAATAACACTTCAGTAATTACTCATTTCTCTACATCCCATATACTGATTACATTATTGTCTGATCTTAAGATGTACAGTAATTATAACTTGCTTTTCACCAGTTTAATAGCTTAACTGTACATTTAATTTGACTTG